TCCTTGTCGATTTTCGATATTAGACCTTTGCCAGATGAATAGTTTGCAAATATTTTCTCCCAATTTGTAGGTTATCAGTTTACTCTGTTGATAGTTTCTTTTGCTGTGCAGATGCTCTTTAGTTTAATTAAGTCCCATTTATCAATTTTTTGTCAAACTTTTATTAATATTATATTGGTTAGGGTGATATGTGATCAGTGATATTTGTATTTGTTTTCGGGCCCCACAAATTGTGCCCATATAAGATAGTGAAATTAATTGGTAAAAGTATGTGTTCTGGCGCCTCCACTCACCAGCCATTCCATCATCTTCCTCTCCTGAGGCCTACCTGAGACACGGTAATATTGAAATTAGGCCAATTAATAACCTTACAATGTTTTCTAAGTGTTCAAGTGAAAGGAAGAGTCACACGTCCCTCATTTGAAATTAAAAGCTAGCAGTGACTAAGCTTAGCAAGGAAGGCATGTTAAAACCCAAGATAGGCTAAAGGCTAGGCCCCTGGTACCAAGAAACCAAGTTTTGAATGCAAAGGAAAAGTTATTGAGGAAAATTAAAAGTGCTACTCCAGTGAACACACAAATGGTAAGAAAGCAAAGCAGCCTTATTGCTGATATAGAGAAAGTTTTAATGATCTGGATAGAAGATCAAACGAGCCACAACATTCCCTTAAGACAAAGCCTAACCCAGAACAAGGTGTTAACTTTCTTTAATCCTCTGAGGCCTGAAAGAGGTGAGGAAACTTGCAGAAGAAAAGTTGGAAGCTAGCAGAGATTGGTTCCTGAGGTTAAGGAAAGAAGCCATCTCCATAACATAAAAGTGCAAGGGGAAGAAGCAAGGGCTGATGTAGAATCTACAGCAAGTTATCCAGGAGATCTAGCTATGATCATTGATGAAGGTGGTTACATTAAACACCAGATTTTCAATGTAGACAAAACAGCTTTCTATTAAAAGATGTCTTTCTTTTTTTTTTTTTCATTTTTTTGGTTGTTTTTTATTTTTATTTTTTCTACTTTTTTTTGTTTAAAAGATGATGTCTTATAACACTTTAATAGCTAGAGAGGAGAAGTAAATATCTGGCTTAAAAGCTTCAAAAGACAGGCTTACTCTCTTGTTAGGGGCTAATGCAGCTGATGACTTTCAGTTGAAGTCGATGCTCATTTACCATTCTAATGATCCTAGAGGCCTAAGAATTAGGCTAAGTCTACTCTTCTCATGCTCTATAAGCGAAACAATAAAGCCTGGATGTAAACATCACCTCTGTTTACAGCATGATTTACTGAATATTTTAAACTCATTGTTGAGCCCACTGTTCAGAAAAAAGATTCCTTTCAAAATATTACTGCTCACTGACAATGCACATAGTCAGCGAAGAGCTCTGTTGGAGATGTGCAGGAGGTTAATGTTTGATGCCTGCTAACACAGTATCCATTCTGCAGCCCATGGATCAAGGAGTAATGTGATCTCTCAAGTCTCATTATTCAGGAAATACATTTTATAAGGCTGTAGCCACCAAAAAGAGGGGTTTTCAAAAAGTTCATGGAAAATTCATATTATGAAAAACTATGCATGGATTTCAAAAACTTTTCACACCAAACTAAACTTATATTAACTTGTTATAATATGTTTGAACAGGATGTAGTTTGAGGCACTAAAAAGGATAAGACATCAATTTGTAAGAGCCCATTTCAGACCAACATAAATTGTGCTAAAATTGGCTGGGTGCGGTGGCTCACGCCTGTAATCCCAACACTTTGGGAGGCCGAGGCAGGTGGATCATGAGGTCAGGAGATCGAGACCATCCTGGCCAAGATGGTGAAACCCCTGTCTCTACTAAAATACAAAAATTAGCCAGGCATGGTGGTGCACACCTGTAGTCCTAGCTACTTGGGAGGCTGAGGCCGGGGAAATCTCCTGAACCCGGGAGACAGAGGTTGCAGTGAGCTGAGATCACACCACCGCACTCCAGCCCGGTGACAGAGCAAGACTCCCTCTAAAAAAAAAAAAAAAAAATGCTGCCGGGCATGGTGGCTCACGCCTGTAATCCTAGCCTGTAATCCTAGCACTTTGGGAGGCTGAGGTGGGTGGATCACCTGAGGTCAGGAGTTCAAGACCAGCCTGGCCATCACGGCGAAACCCCATCTTAAAAAAAAAAAAATGCTAAAATTGAAGCAAGAACAAACATCACATCAAATCTATGGGCCAGACCTGGTGGCTCATACCTGTAATCCCAACACTTCAGGAGGCTAAAGCAGGCAGACCTCTTGAGCCCAGGAGTTCAAGACCAGCCTGGGAAACGTGATGAAACTCTGCCTCTACAAAAACTACAAAACTTAGCCAGGTGTGGTTGCATGTACCTGTAGTCCCAGCTCTTTGGGAGGTGGAGATGTGAGGATCGCTTAAGCCTGGGAGGTCAAGGCTGCAGTGAGCCATGTTTATGCCACTGTACTCCATCCTGGGTGACAGACTGAGATCCTGTTTCAAAAAACAAACAAAACACGAATTTTTGGTGACATTTCGGTGGAAGAATGGTAAAATCATTGTCATTGGTGCTTTACAAAATGTTTATGAGGGCAGTGCCCCAAAGAAATCAACAGTTTACAAATGTATAAATAATTTTAGGAAGGAAGGATATGATATCAAAGATGAAGCCCACAGCCGCAGACCATCCACATCAATTTGTGAAGAAAAAATTTTATTCACACCCTAATTGAAGAGGACCAATAATTTAACAGCAGAATAGCCAACACCATGGGCTGGGTGTGGTGGCTCATGCCTGTAATACCAGCACTTTGGGAGGCCGAGGCAGGTGGATCACAAGGTTAAGAGTTTGAGACCAACCCGGCCAAGATGGTGAAACCTTCTCTCTTCTAAAAACATAAAATTAGCTGAATGTGGTGATGGGTGCCTGTAATCCCAGGTACTCGGGAGGCTGAGGCAGGAAAATTGCTTGAAACCGGGAGGCAGAGGTTGCAGTAGCCAATATTGCACCACTGCACTCTAACTTGGGGCAACAGAGCAAGACTCCATCTAAAAAAAAAAAAAAAAGCCAACACCATAGACATCTCAATGGATTCTGCCTTCATAATTGTGACTGAAAATTAAAATTGAGGCAACTTTCCCTCTCATGATGGGTACCAAAACTGTTGTGCCCTCATCAGTTGCAGACAAGAGCAAAGTTTTCAATGGAAATTTTAAAACAAGTAAGACAAAGATCCTGAAGCATTTCTTCTAAGTATTATAACACTACATGAAATATGGCTTTACCAGTATGGTCCTGAAGACAAAACACAATCAAAGCAATGGCTACCAAGAGGTGGAAGTGGTCCAGTCAAAGCACAAGTGAACTGGTCAAGAGATGCTTAAGGCACTTTGCTTGTTGACTTTCTGGAGGGTGCAAAAATAGTAACATCTGCTAATTATGAGAATGCTTTAAGAAAGTTAACCAAAGCTTGAGCAGAAAAATCCCCAGGTGAGCTTTCCCTGGCTAGTCCTCCTTCACCACAACAATGCTTATGCTTCCAATCAAATAAGGGCAATTTTGCATGAGTTTTGATGGGAAATCATTAGGCGTCCACCTTATGGTCCTGGTTTGGCTCCTTATGACTTCTTTATGTTTCCTAATCTTAAAAAAATCTTTAAAAGGTACCCACATTTCTTTTTTCTTTTTTTTTTTTTGAGACAGAGTTTCGCTCTTGTTACCCAGGCTGGAGTGCAATGGCGCGATCTCGGCTCACCGCAACCTCTGCCTCCTGGGTTCAAGCAATTCTCCTGCCTTAGCCTCCCGAGAAGCTGGGACTACAGGCATGCGCCACCATGCCCAGCTAATTTTTGTATTTTTAGTAGAGACAGGGTTTCACCATGTTGACCAGATGATCTCAATCTCTTGACCTCGCGATCCACCCACCTCAGCCTCCCAAAGTGCTGGGATTATAGGCGTGAGCCACCATGCCCAGCCAAGGCACCCACATTTCTTCAGTTAATAATTAGTAAAAAAGACTGAATTGACATGGTTAAATTTACAGGTCTCCCATTTAAGGATGGACTAAATTGCTGGTATCATTGCTTACAAAAATATCCTGAAGTTGAAGTTGATGGAGTTTTTATGTTCAGAAATCATGTTTATATTTTTTATTTTATTTTATTTTTTTGAGACAAGGTCTTACTCTCTTGCCCAGGCTGACATGCAGTGGTATGTACTGGCTCACTGCAGCCTTGATTTCCTGGGCTCAAGCAATCCTCCCACCTCAGTCTTCTGAGTAGCTGGGACCACAGGCACATGCCACCATACCCAGTCAGTTTTTAATTTTTTAGTAGAGACAGGGTTTCACCATGTTTCCCAAGCTGGTCTCAAACTCCTGGGCTTAAGCAGTCCTCCTACATCAGCCTCCCAAATTGCTAGGATTACAGGTGTGAGCCACCGAATCTGGCTAAGGAGTTGCTTTTCATGGATGAGCAAACAAAGTAGTTTCATGAGATAGACTCTATTGCTGGTGAGGATGCTGTGAACATTGTGGAAATGACATCAAAGGAATTAGAATAGTACATGAATTTATTTGATAAAGCAGCAACAGGGTTTGAGAAGACTGACTCCAATTTTAATATAATTTAAAACACTTTAAACATTTATCTATTTATTTAACAGTTGGAGTCTCACTCTGCTGCCCAGGCTGGAGTACAGTGGCTTGATAATAGCTCACCACAGCCTCAATCTCCTGGACTCTAGTAATCCTTCCACCTCAGCCTCCCAAGTAGCAGAGGCTGCAGGTGTGTGCTACCAGCTAATTTAAAATTTTTTATTGTTGGTGCAGGCAGTGTCTCTCTTTGTTGTCCAGGCTGGTCTGGATTTTCCAGCCTCAAGTGATCCTCCCACCTCAGTCTCCCAAGACGTGTCTTTTTATGTTTTATTATTTTTTTTAAGGTTCTCAAGAATTTTATTATAAAACAGAACAATGGCACAGTGTAAGCTTACACATTAATATTTATATTATATTCAAAATATATTACAGCTTTAATTTAAGATCAGAAATATCCTGTCTTGTCTTCTTTTTCTTTTCTGTTTTCTTTGCATCATTGATTTGCATTTTTACTTGATCTTGTAATTTAAAAAAGAATGCTTGAGAGGACTTTAAGGCTTTGTCTTCACCTTCATCCTTTATGAAGGAAGCTTTGCCAGTTTTTGTGAGCTGTTTTAACTTTTCTGAAGCTACTGCTTTGCTGTATTTCCCTGCTTGATCTAGGCTGCTCTTTTCAAGCAGTTTTCTCCGCTTCTCCTTCTCCTTCATTTTCATACGCTTTTGAGATTTCTTTTTCCTCCGCTCTCATTTCTCGTCTGTAGCTGTTTTTTCAACAGCTGTTTTTACATCTCCAGCTTTATTTTTCTCCTTGATCTCCTCTGGGGCCAGGAGAGCTGCGTCACTAACACTCACTGGGGCTACTTCCTCCATGGTTATGGCTGGCAGATTTGACACAACTTTAATCTCTGGTACAGGGGGTTTAGGGATAAAGTGGAAGTTTGAGAGGGCATCCAATCTTAAGAAGAGGGAATCCATCATCTTCTGAATTTCTACATGCTCTGGATTTTCTTCTTCTGCTGTTTTTTGCTGGTTGAGTTTGATGTACTCCTGTTCATAAATTTCAGCAAGGCTCAATTTACTCTTCCCATGGTCTAAGGGTAAACGCTTTTTATGTTCTCATGCATCCTCTTTAGGTTTTTCTTTACGTACTATGTCATCCCAAGCCTGATCTCTTATCCTCTGTTTAATTATATCTTCCAGTTTAAGGGTGGTTTCCTCTGTAATCACAGGTGCCATCCGGATAGCATGGTCAAAGTGCAGGGTCTCCTCCAGGAGGCTGTTCTCTGGCCTCTTTGGTGCTGTCACTTACCTCTGGAGCTGCCAAGGCTTTTTTTCTAACAACTCTTTTTCTAAAGATGCAATTTTTTCATTCATCTTTTCCTGTCTTTTTTCAAAAGAGGATTTAACTTCATCAGAATTTTTCTTTCATTTAAAACACCTGTATCTTCAGTTTTCTCGTCATCTGGCAAAGCAAAGGTCACTCTTTTCAAGCTTTCTTTATGTTGTTTACTGTCTTCACTTTCTTCAAGGTCATCATCTTCATCCGTTTCCGAAATACTTAGTTCTGGTGCTTCTTCAGCAATTTCATCATCTTCTTTCTTTGAATCTAGCTCATCATAATGAACACTTTATTATGTCTTCATCACTTTCAACTGGATCAAAAAAGTCTTTGTATTTCAGATTTCTGGAAATTTTACCTGACTTACATTTTTTACCTCCAAACAGTATGATTTCATCCTCATCAGAATCAATATCTTCAAAAAAAATCAATATCTTTCTCCTCATCATCATTATCATCTTTTC